AATCACACCAGCTACAGTAAATTCAGTTGTAATCTGGAGTTATACACCAAGGAAGAATGAGCATGTTAGCAGAGGTGTAAAAACTACCCTGGGTTCCTACAGCCGACTGTAGAGTGAGGAGGAAAGCCCCATCAATATCAATATCTTTGCTTCTCCTGGCAAAGACTGAGGATGCTGACACATGCCATGGCACCCCACACCCTCCTCCTCCAGGCTGAAAGCCCCAGAGAGGTAGTGAAGGTGAGCAGAGCCCCCAAAAAAGGTGGTAGGTACAAGGAGGTCTGTGAGCATTGATTTTAATTGTGTGTAACAAAAACTATTACTGTCATTGTAACTGGACTAAAACTATTTTTTTTGATTCAATTCTTAAGACATTAATGAAACTAACAATAAATTCATGGCTTTGTAAAAAAGCATGTTTCCTTTTGCATGCAACAAAATTTTGAGTGTAAGAAATTGGTAGGAATACAAGGAACTTAGTCCCTGACTTGCATGCAACGAGTCGGTAGAAGCTTGAGGGTGGGAGTGCTGTGATAAAAAAAAAAAGCATCTCTATGAAGGCCATCTTGTCCTCCTGTGGGTAAGCCAAGATGTCCAGATAGCTCTGGTGATCTCAAAAAAAACTGGCCATGCAGCTGTATCACTACCAATGCTCCAGGGTGAAAAAGTGTCTGGACTTTAAAACCACATCGACGATGCTGAAGCCCACTGAGAACCTCCGTGCATCCTGCAGAGCCAGAAGAAGTCCTTCTTCTTTGGTGCCCTCCTTTTAGGTGTTGCAGATATGGGAGTGACAGCAGATCAAGGGGGTACAGAGGGTCCATGCATGGGTGAGGAGTGGCCCTGGTCCACCCCCAGTGAGATTGGGTGAAAGGAGGATAGAGGCTCTGGGGGAACTGGTCAGGGATGAGCAAAGGGATCTGGATGGGTGGTGAGTGGCGGTGTGCTCAGAGAGGGGTGAGAGGTGGTCCCGTGCTGGTTAGCAGGTACAAGGGGGCTGTACACACTGGTGCAGGATGCAGTGGGGGGCTCTGCGTGGGTGATGAGGTGCCAGGGCTGCCTGTGCGCAGGAGGAACCCAAGGGGCCCCTGGCTGTTGGGCAGCTGGTGAGGAGTGGGCTTGGAGCTGCTGTGGGTGTGGAGGTGGCATTGGGGTGCAGTGGGGGGTGCTTGTGTGGGTGTCACAGGGATGGGGTGTTGGTGATGGGATGTTGGATGCTGGTGTGGGTGTCACAGGGTGATGGGGTGGTGGTGGAAGGCACTGAGAGCCGTGGCGCTGGGCTCTGGGGCTTTCGGTCCCCCTCATGCTGCAGGTGTCTGTGATGGGTACATGCAAGTTCCTACCTCTGCAACCTCCTCATGCCCCCCCCCCCCCCCCCCCAGGGCAGAGGGTACCCCTGCTGAGCCCAGAAGGGCTGAGAAACAGGTGTTACCCCACGTCACTGGGGAGGGAAACTGTACCTAAAACATGGTCTGTCTCGATCTGGTAGCTGGTGGAAAGATGCTGTTGATGTCTCAGTGCCTCTTGTGGAGGAAACACTGAATGGTGCACTGAGCCAGGCATCTCACATTTAAAAAACTTGCCAAAGGCATGAAAAATGTTAATTTGATTCTTGGAACACTTTTTGGCTTTTTATTTCCTGAATTTTTCAGGCAGGAAGGCCCAGGGACAGTGGCACATCACTGGAATCCTCCAGCGTGGTGTCAATAGGAAGGAAAACCCCAGGACCCTAAATCCCTTGGGACAGCCTGTGTGGGAAAATCACCCACACATCAAAGGCTGAGTGTAGACTACCCCAAGGCAATGGGAGGGGAGAGCATGTCCTGTCCTGCCAGCATAGCCAGTGCTTTCTCAAGAGGCTGCTCTGGTTGGGCTGGAGAACTGATGGCTGTGGCAGAGCTGAGCTGAGCTCTTCTCCAGGCAGCGAAGGATCTCTGCTGCAGGTATCCTTCAGGGCCTGGAAGGAGAACTTAGGAGACCCTGTGATCCCTCCCTCTGCCCCACAGCAGGACCTTGGTCTGGACTCAGCCTCCCTAGATGCTCTGCTCCAAATCTTGGCACCTGACAAGCATCTTTCCTGCACTTTAAAGCTGTGACTCCCTGTACCATGAGACCTGCTCGTTGCCTTTTACAATGGGAGACTGGCAGCACGTCCTCCCAGCTCCTCTTCTGATGTTGAACAACACAGGCAGGTTTTCCTCAATGGGCAGATGGGACACGTGAGTGCTGCAGTCCACCAGTATTCCTGAAACAATCCTAGACTGAGGCTTGTCTTCTCATTCTCTAACCATAACTTGGCTCAGTCCAGGCATTTTATCACGGCACGCTTAGTTGCAGCGTGTAGAGATTAAAAGATGTTCATAGGAACTAGTCATTTTTTCACCTATATCTTTTCAGATTCACTTCTGCAGTGTCTCATGATCATTTCACTTTTTAAGCCCATCTGTGGACACACAGGCAGTCCCTCCCTGCAAACAGGTAGGTGAATGTCCTGGGAACCCTTTTTTAACCAAAGGAAAGATGCAATGAATCTGGAAACTGGCACTAATGGGTACTGGGGAGAAGGAGCCAGGGTACCCCCGGAGAGAGGTCTCCAGCCTGCTCTGCGACTCACCTGCGGGCAGTGGGAGGTTCAGCTGCAGGGAGAGCTCTGCCCATGCTCTCAGAGTGCCCTGTGGCCAGCAGCCCACTGCCACTGGGAGCTTGGCTGCTGGAAAATGCAAAGGGGTTTGAGCAGGGTGCCAACCACTGCCTTTGAAGGGGACACTGACCTGAGGAGTGGGGTTTGCAGGAGAACAAAGTGAAACCTAAACCAACAGAAGAAAAAGCCTTCAGAAACAGGAGACTCCAGCTAGCTTGTTTAGAAGTCTTCCAGGAGAAACTGTTGCTGTGAAAGAAATAATTCTGCTCTTGCAAGGACTGTAGCTGTCCCAGGGCACGGATCTGATGCCAAATGTTTGCAGCTGGGACAGCTGTGGCTGCCCCAGCCCGAGAAAACAAAGAGCAAACTGTGAGCAGAATGGCAAGACAAAGGGGTTTTTAATAATGAAGGTGTTGCTGGTAACATAGGTAAGGAAATGTGCTTGCTTACAAGTTTGAAGCTGACAGCATCCCTTTAAATAAGAAAATACATTTGCTGAGAGGAGAAAGTTATCTGGAAGGCCCTGTACAATGATGCAGTGTAGCAGCTAACACTACTCTGTTTCAAGTGCTATTAATATTCTCCACGGACCGGCTTTGAAAAATCTCTCACTTAGAAAAAGGACTTCTTTAAAAAAAATGCAACCTGTGATTGTCTATCCTAGCAGTGCACTGTGACCATTTGTACAATAGAAAAGTGGTGCTTTAAATAGTGACTTGAAAGCTACTGCCACGTGCTTTATACAGCATGCAACAACACCACAAACTGGAGACACAGCAGGGGCTGCAGAGCCTCCTCCAACAGCTCCAGCATCCCTGGGAGGAGTGTCCCACTGGAGCCACAGCCAGACTGCCCCCAGGCCCCTCATGCAGGATCTCCTCCCCAGCTGCTGCATCTCCGATGTGCTGTCCTTCCAGTAACACAAATATTAAATACACTCAGTCTGTAAATAGTTTAACAATCTTTGTCAGCAACAATATTTACTTTGGCAAAACCAGAATTGCAAAGAAGTAGACATGTCCGTCAAATAGTCTGCAGCAAGTTCTTTGGTGGAAGCCAAGAAGTGAAGCAAAGGCTCCTTCTTGCTAGAGCCTGAGGAAGTATATTGCACAGAGACTCATAGGAGAAATGCTGGTGACTTCAAATGGGAGGCATCACTGCAGGAGAGCATCCATCTCTGCCAGCTTCAGGAGAACTAGCTCCTCCAGGCTCAGTGATTCATAGCTGTTCTCCGGATGGCCTTGCTCTGGACCGAGTGAACAGTGATGCTGGAGTAAACTTGGGAAGAAGGGCATGACTGCTGGGGATCAAGGAGGAATGGGAAGAAGGATGGAGGCATGGATGACAGAGGAGTGGAGGCAACAAAGGCAGATGCTCACACAAAATCACAGCCATGCAAGGGCCCACTCAGCCCTGCCCCACATGCCGGTCACTGAGTGTCCGTTTCTGGCTTCACCTGCTTCTAGGTCATGCAAGGTGGTGGAGATCCATCCCGACTTCTGGCTGTGCAAAGGACAGCCCCTCCAAAGCCTGGCTGTATTTTCCATACAACTTGCTCCTACCTTGGACCAAAACACATTACACATCTCTTTGTCTGTACCATACTAACTGGGATGCAGCAGGTCCACCGGGATGCCACGTCCCTTTGATACCTGCACCTGCAGCCTGAGCAGCTACCTCCAATGTCCAGAGCTTTCTGCTCCAAGGTCACAGGCTTCAGCCTGATTCAGTTCAGACTGCAGCTGCGATGGCTCCTGGGCTTTCAGCCCCCTAGGCACCATGAGGACATGATGAGGTGCCACCATGAACATGGTGGTCTCCATCTCTCATCCACCTGCAGCAGAGCTGTGCAGGGACTGAGCAACATAGCTTCAGGGGCAGGAGGCAGGAAGCAAGGCGAGCCTGACTGTACGGAGAAGTGTGCTTGTCGCTCTGGCTGGGCAGAGCCTCCCTGCTCCCACAGCCCCATGCCTGGTCACGGCCAAGATGAGCCCAGCAGGATTGCCTAAAGGGTTGGACGGGCAGGAGAGTAGAGGAGAGGGCAGTAATGGGCTCTCCTCTCCATGATTTCCCATTGCTGCCCAGGTGAGATTTCCTCACTACACAGTTTTGTCACAAGCTGCTCCAGTTCTCATGAGAGTGACTGATAAAACTGGGGGGGGACGGGGGGAGAGAAAAGAAACAAAACTGAAGTTCTTGTCAATCTAGTGTTGTTAAAGGCACTGTTGCCCTCTGTGGGGACGTGTCTGTGGAGGAGAACCAAAAAGTGCCAGAGCTGTAGTGCTGTCAATTTGCAGTAACTGGAAATTCAAACAAGTTTATATGCTGGGAAAATAACTCCAGTTTCCCCTGGATGCGGCACATTAGCCCTGTGTGTTCTTTGGCATGACAGAAACACTGTGCTGGCTGCTGCAGGCTTATCATGTCCTGCCTCCACCACCCTCCCTTTCACCACTGCTGCAGGTGCAGGTCCATGCTGGTGTTTAGATTGAGATCAGTAACATCTAGGAAATCAATGTTGAAGATGCTGGGACCTGCAGGGGTGAGTGAGCCAAAGCCAGTGGCAGAGCTGGGGGGGGTTAGGTCCAGCCACTCCATTGTTTCCCATGGAGACTCAGTGAAACTCATTTGTAAACCAGAGCTGTCAGCAGGGGAAGGGGAGAGCTGTGTTTCCATGGGCGAGAGAGGAGTCTGTAAAATCTCCTGGGAGGTGAGCAGTTCATCTGCAGCTTTGCCAGAGAACCCCTCTATCATCCCTTCAAAGTGGGACTCTTCTCCCCCCATCTTCAGCAGCGCGATTTCACTGACTCTCCCCAGGGGGCTGTGGGCATTCAGCAGGACCTCGAGGTGAGCATCGCTGCTGCCTGGACAGTGCTCAAAGGAAAGCTGGGCTGAGGAGACCTGCTCAAATGGGGCAGATGACTTCGGGAGTGAAGCGCTGGAGTTCCCTGTAGACACTGTTATCTGAGGTACTTTCTGGAGGCAGGACCGATCTTCCTTGGCATTGGCTGGCATTTCTGTCAATGAATGAGAGGGGTTTGAGGTACTCTGGCACTGCTGGGCACAGGGGCACCACCACAGCCTCCCAGCTGGGCTCTTGGGCATGCCTACGGAGACCTGCTTTCCACTCAATCCCCTTGGCATTGCTTGTCCACCCTCCCTGTGGGAAATCTCACATGTTCCTGCTTTCTGACCTCGATTCCCCTGGTTTTGGACATGGTCCCTAGGGCACGAGCACTGGCAGCTGTCCCCATGGGGCTGAGCATGGGTTGTGCATGGGAAAGGCAGCACTTTGCATTTGGGAGGGCACTGGCAGGACTGGGAAAGGTGGTGGACACTGGGATCTCTGCATGGGGAGGGTGCTGGCAGTGCTGTGCACAGGGCTGCTGCCCTGCTGTCCCTTCTCTCTGCGCAGTCTGCATAGGCGATAACCAAGCCCAGACCACCCCACCGGCTCTGCATGTGCAGGAGCAGGCTCCCAGAGGGCCAATATGTTTTTGGATTCAATCTCAGTGTCTGCTGGCACAGGGAGGGCAAATGAAAGCTGTACTCAACTCAGGCAGCTCTGCTGGGGTGCACAGAGTGCACTGAGCCCCACAGACAGATGCTGGCTTGGAGGGGAAGCCCTGGAGGGGAACAGGGAAGCAGTGCGTACCTCCGCTCTCAATCAGCACGTCCAGGAGCTCGTCCATCTGCTGACTTCGTGTCATCTGCTGCAGCAAACGACAAAGAGGAGAGTAGAGGGCGTTAGGAGGAGAGCCCCTCCAGCCACAAGCCAGGTAGGTGTCTCCAGACCCCACAAACGGCTTTCTCCCATGCAGGAGAGATGCCACTCCAACACTGGGCTGGCAGCAGCGTTCAGGTGAGCACTGCAGGGACCTGGGACAAGCATGATGGATATGGGGAGCATGGCGTCAGGTTCCCCCCACCCTGCTGCTGACCCTCTGCTCAGTGGCCACCACAGACTGCCTCTTCCCAGGGCTGTCAGGACACACCAACTCTTTGGACCCAGCACCTTGCACTGGCATGTGCCTCCTTGCACTCCCTGCAGCTCCTTGGGAGCCATGCATCTTCATCCTCCTCTCCCTGACTGGAGTCTGGAAGGATTTTCTGCACACCTCCCTGCCAGCTAGCATAAGCCCATTTTTATCACTGCCAACAGCATCACTCAGTTTTCCTAAAGGCACCATCATGACCGTCACTGAAGCTGCTGCCAGACTCTCACAAGAAGTAAGGGGTTCATGGGCGATGGAGAGTCCTACCTGTGGGAACAGCACTCCAGAGTAAGGCTAAGCGAGGCAGATGGCATGGAGCAGGGCACTTTGCTAATGGGCTAAAGAGGGAAGGTGAGGTTTCCCGGTGACTTGGGAATGCTCAAGAGTGTTTATCACATAGTGAGCACCCCAAATAAGAGTACACTGAAGTCCTGGTATATTTGTGTGCGATGTCAGGACCCCAGGGTGGACTGGCACCTTTCATCAGCACAGAAGATGCTATCCCATCCAGCGTGGTGTCTCACTGCTTTGTGGCAGTCATTCAGCCACTAACTCTTCAAGAAAATCCCATGCCTTGTGGAAACAGACCTGTCCTACCCAGAGACCCCAAAATGGGTTGTAACTCCTGCAGATGATTTGTATTAACCACAAAAGAACACCCTGTACAGCCCTAGCCCTATAGAAAATAAAAATCATGCAGTTACCTGCTTTACTGCATCCTCATAGGGTGGAGGCTGCTTTACCTCTGAGAGGGCTGGGCTTGACTTACAAAAACTTGGGGATGGAATAGAAAACTTTTGACCTGCCTGCGTAGCCATCTGCGTGGGGGAAATACAGGGAAACGGAGTCAATGCACAGGGAGGCATGGCAGGAGGCCCAGCTCTCTTTCACCCCTGTTGAAGCTAGTGTGGTGCCAGGGAAACTAATGATTTTGTGGGTCAAATCAGCTTAAACAAAGTGCTGGCCTCTGGGCAGGAGAGAGGGAGGTAAACTAGTTCTGTCAGGCTAGCTCTGAGACCCAGGGCCAGGCTGACCTCTGGTCGCTGCTGGAGCACAGGCATGATGCCACAGAGCATCCTGGTGCTCAGCCCAGCCATGAACGTGTAGAGCAAGGGGAGAGAGCAACAGGCTGCTGGTGGTCGGCTGCACCCAGCCAGTGATGCAGCACTTCCCCAGCTGCCTCCCAGCCCCTCTGCTGGGGACCCTCTCCATCACTGCCTGTCCAGGGGCATCTCACAGAGCCCAGGCCAGGGAAGACCACTCAAAAGAGTCACTGCCAGGTCAGCACCTAGGCTTTCCCTGTGCTTGTGCCAAATACCTGCATATCAGTGCCAGCTTTTTGCCAGTCCCCCCTTCTAGGAGGGACCTCATCCCCATGCTGTGACCATCACCTCTAGGCCCTTGTGTGCCCTTCCCCACTGCCTGGCCACAGCTGCCTCGTCCCATAAGAGCCAGTGCCAGGGGATGAAGCATGGCCCCAGCAGGTGGGTCGGATCCAGGGCAGCAGTGAGGCCATTCAGCTTGGCCATGCACATCCTGGCCACCTTTCTGCAGAGGGCGGCTGGGAGGAACAGTTTCCCTGGCTTGTGAGGGACAGCACTCCAATGCTGGGCACAGAGACAGAGCTGTTGCTGAAGAGGGATCCTTGCCCCTGGGAGCCCCTTGCAGGCAGCAGAGGAATGCCCAGGATGGGTGGTGCCACAGCCAGGATGAGCTGCAGGACACCATGGGGCCATCCCCTCTGTATGCCTCTTGTGCTCAGGCAGCAAGGAAGGAGCTGGAGATGCCCCCAAAGTGTTGCTGCTCCTTGCTGATGCTCACTGATGGCTGCCCAGTCGTCCAGAGCAGCCCTGCTGCCTGTCTTGGAGTATCGCCTCACAGCACTGTGTCCCACTGCCTATTGCACCCACAGCTCTGCCGCATTGCTGAGCTCACCTCTACAGCTCCATGCTCCACTGCTGAGGTCACCTACTGCAGCCCACTGCATTCCCTGCTCTCTGCCCCACTGCCCAGCTTATCCACAGCACTGCTCCCCATTGCCCAGCTCACTCAAAGCGGTGCTCCCCACTGCCAATTTCACCCCAGCAGCAAGCTCCACTGCCTACCTCACCCCAACAGCACTGCACTCCACTGCCCATCCCACTGGCAGCACTCTGTCTCTCTGCCCCTCTCCCCCTAAATTGCTCCCCATTGCTCACTTCACTGGCAGCGCTGTGTGCCAACTGCCCACGTCACCTATCTCACTGTCCTCTGAATGGCTTAGAGACACCACTGCGCCCCCACTTTCTGCCACCTCGCAGCACTGCACCCCTCAGTGTGCTGACTGCGGGAACGTGATTTGTGTGGCCGTCACTCTGCTGTGCAGCTGTCGTGCACTCAGCGTGCACTTCCTGAACATCTCCCCTGAATGCAGTGTGCATGCCTTGCACCACTGTGTGTGTTTTACAGACTGTATAATAGGTGTTGCTGCTGCCTGGGAAACCCTGGTAGGGTGTTGGGATGAATTGGGGCTGCGATCAGCAGCACCTTGTGCTGCTTTTATGTGTTAGCAGCATGTGCATCTCTCCAAGCTTTTGTACCTGTCCAGAGGGCTGAGTGAGGAGTGGTGGATGCTGAAGGGCCAACTCTCTGCTGTGTTGGTTGCCTGGTGGGGAGGCACAAGCTCTATCTGACTGCAGACCCCAGTTGCAAGCCCTGCTCTATCTTCCCAAGAAAAGGCTTTCCATATGACTGGCTGTCCTGGTTTCAGCTAGGATAGAGTTAATTTTCTTTCTAGTAGCTGGTATAGTGTTATGTTTTGGATTTAGTATGAGAAGAATGTTGATAACACACTGATGTTTTTAGTTGTTGCCAAGTAGTGTTTAGACTAAAAGTCAAAGATTTTTTCAGCTTATGCCCCGCCAGCAAGAAGGCTGGAGGGTCACAAAAAGTTGGGAGGGGGGGGCACAGCCAGGACAGCTGACCCAAACTGACCAAAGGAATAATCCATGCCATGTGATGCCAGGCCCAGTATATAAACTGGGGGCAGTTGGCCAGGGCGGGGCAGATTGCTGCTCGGGAGCTAACTGGGCATTGGTCAGTGAGTGGTGAGCAATTGCATTGAGCATTACTTGTTTTGTATATTTCAATTCTTTTATTATTATTATTATTGACATTTATTATTATTATAGTTATTTTCTTCCTTTCTGTCCTTTTAAACTGTCTTTATCTCAATCTACAAGTTTTACTTTTTTTCCCAATTCTCTACCCCATCCTACTGGGTAGAGGGGGAAGTGAGCAAGCAGCTGCATGGTGCTTAGTTGCCGGCTGTGGTTAAACCACAATACCGAGGTAACTGCCCTCCTTCAACCCAGTGGTCAAAATCCTTCACACACTGCTAGGAGCTGCAATGGCTCAGCAAGATGCTGAAAAGCCATGCAACACTGCACTGGGGCTCTCCCAGGGGTGTAGGACCTGTGCCAGGGGTCTCCCTTGGGCTGAGGGATCTGTGCGGGTGCTTCCCTGCTGTGGATAGAGCTGTGCCAGGGCTCCATGGGGCACGGGGAGCTGTGCCAGGTCTTCCCTAGGGTGGAGAGGGCTGTTCCAGGGCTCCATGGGGCACGGGGAGCTGTGCCAGGACTCCCCCAAGGTCACAGCAAACTGTGCCAGGGCCTCCCCCTGAGGGGAGACGCAGCTGGGTTAGGGCTCTTCTAGGGCAGAAGAAGTTGTGCCAATGCCCCCCCAGGGCAGAGAGAGCTGTGCCAGGACTCCTCCAGGGGCAGAGGGAGCTGTGCCAGTGCTTAACCAGGGGCAGAGGGAGCAGTTCCAGTTCTCCCCAGGGCAGAGGGAGCTGTGCCAGGGCTCCATGGGGCAAAGGATGCTCTGCCAGGACTCTCCCAGGACACAGGGGCCTTTGCCAGTGCTCACCCAGGGGCAGAGAGATCTGTGCTGGGGTCTCCTGGGGAAAAGGGGAGCTGTGCCAAGGGTCCCCCAGGGCAGAAGGAGCTGTGCTAGGGCTGAACGGGGCATGGGAGCTGTGCTGTGTCCCCACAGGGCAATTAGGTGTGGTGGGAGCAGGGATCCCCAGGAGATGCCCTGCAAAGGACCCTGTGGTGCTATCAGCTTCCAACCTGTTGTCCATCTGGGATACTCTGTGCCCTTCCAGGCAGCCCCACATGCTGCCATGCCCCCCTGGGTACCCACCCTCGGTGCCAACAGTCCCGGTCTGATAGGAAAGGAATCAAACTGGGATGTTTGACTGACTGCCCACAGACACCAGCACATTCACCACCGCGATGACATATGGGGTGCTCTCCACTTACCGATGCTGTGCGAAGGCAACTGTTTGTCTGCGGGGACCCACTGCGCCCTTCTGCCTGTGAGCCGGGGGACACCGAGAGGAGATAGTGGCTGTTGGGGGATGGCGGCAGGCTGATGTGCTGGGGGCTCTTTGCAGCCCCGAGCGGAGAGTGCTGGGGGGAGCACTGTGGGCTCAGGAATGTTGAGGAGGTGAGGGTGCTTTGCCCTGCAGGCTCCAAGCAGTGACTATTTACAATGTGAGGCAGCTGCGGCACCCCACAGTTACTTAACTTATCCGAGCTGCTGGCTTGGCCTTTCAAGGCAGTTTGTTTGGATGCAAATGGACAGCTGGACACTGTGTTTTCTTGCTTGATGGGGACACCAAAGAAATGCTGAGCAGTCTGCTGCTTATCCTCAAGGCCATTGCTTCTCTTTCGCTTCTGGAGCTGCATTCGTAGCTCTTCCACCTGCCTCTGTTCTTGCTGTAGCTTCCATGTCAGTTCATTGATGACCTTCTGCTTCTCCACCAGCATCTTGTCTTTCTCTGTGTCAATCCCTTCCAGCTCCAGCTGGATGCTCCCTCCATTCATGCTGCTCATGAGACTTTCTTCAGCACTGCCATGAACTGGAGATGGCTGGAGACCGAACTGTGGAGAAGACATGGGCCCATCGTTGAATGTATCTGGCAAAGAGCCACTCACAGAGAGGTCAGAGGACGCTGGAGAGATAGGTGGGGTGGAGCTGGTGCTGCCAAAGTGGTAGAAGCCATTTGATAACATGCCGGTGGAGGACTGCGACTGGTAACTTGAGAGGGTGCTTGTCGGAGTGACGGGGAAGGTGACAGTGGTGATCTCACTGAAGTTTGGCACCGCGTTGCTGCTGCAATCCTGGAAGGGCCGCAGCCGTTCCATCAGCGCTGTTTTGGTACCTGACACAGGCAAGCCTCGTATTCGGAGCTGCTGTCTCAGTTCTGATACCTGGAAGGAAAGTCACCAATGATCAGTCCCAATGTCAGATGACCTCTTCAGAAACCCAGCATTTCTAACAAGGACTCTCAGATCACAGGCTCCTGCTTTAAAGCTCTGACCCTCCCAGGTGCTCACTGTCTCATCTGCAGTCACCATGCACAGCCCTGACCACTGCACGTCCTGCAGGTTCTTGACCTTTCCTAACAGGAAACCTTCCTTCTTCCTCCAGGAACTGTGACCACTCTCCATGAACCAGCAGTGGTCCTTGGTCCATGAAGGTAACTCAAGATTCCCTTCCTAGCAGTAGGTTTCTACATGAGCAGAGGACTTCCACACAGACCAGGAACTAGCTGATGGCATCGTTTAGCTCAGAGAATGTGACCATGTACCTTGGAGCCAGATACTCCATGTTCAGGCATCTGCACATCGTTCAGGCATCTGAGCTGGGGCATCGCTATGGCCAAACTCATGTTATTTCTACCTCACTTTTTATTTCTTTCTCGAATAATGAGTATTGCCCCCAGGTCTCTGCTCCTAAAAGGACTTGGCCTTCCCCATCGCTGAGGGTCCATTAGCAAAGTATAAAAGAACTTGTGCTCTGCCTGTCTTGCCTACATTAGAGATTTAGGTACTGTTCAAAGCAGTGCTCATAGCTGCAGACTCCAGGAGATACCTGCTTGTGCAGAGAGCTGAGCTGGCCTGGCTGCAATGACCACTGAGAAGTTGAGTCACTAAGTGGAGGCCATGCTGACCTCCTAGCTTCTGGCTGGTCTGCTAGCAGCATCCATGATGTCTACCATAAAACCACAGAGGGTATGGACCCATGAGCTGCAGAAGCAGCAGCACAGAAGTCCTTTAGTCCTTGACCTGGTGGCCTGGCCTGCAGCCATCTCAAGTTATACTTAAGGTTTGCTGATACATGCCCTGGAGCAATGTGCCCCCACGCCACCTGCAGAGCAGCAAACCTATGTTTTCAGTTACCGTCGCGGTGATCAATTTCTGACCCAGTGTGATGTATTCCTGGGTTTGCTCACAGCATGGTGGTTCTGGTTTGCTGAGCTGTAACACGCGGTCACTCCCAGCCAGCTCAGCCTGTGGTGCTACACTACACACTTCAGGGGTAGAAAAGCACATTCAGGCTACAAGATTCTGCTCCTGCAGTGACAAAATCTGCACTCACTTTCAGATCATCCAGGTTAGACGGCAGAGGGCCTGGCTTGATAGATGAGACACAAGTCTGGCCTGAAAAGGTGGTTTTCACAGGAGAAAGAGGGGTGTTGTTGACAGAAGTTGATGAAGAATTTGAACTTTTGACGATTTGCTCATTTGATTGCCTGAAATAACAAAGGAGATTTGGGGTAATTTGTCTGTCCCCCTGGGGTCTCTGTGCCCAGCACACCATCTCTTTGCTCCCTTGGGACTGCTATCTCCTGTATGAGACCTGAAGGATTGCCAACCCCAAGGAAAACCAGAATGGGCTGTAAGGAGATTGCTGGTGACCCACCAGCAGGTCACAGATGCCCCAGCCAGTGCTCAAAGCCAGAACGGCTTTGCAGGAGACTGTGCTGTACCCAAGCTTTTATGTTTTACTTGCATGCGTCTATCCCCCTTGCACTGGCACAAATAGGTACAGCGGGGGAAAGTTTGGAAGAGAGACAGGACTAAACCCTGTTATTGGCACATTGCCACTCACTTTAGCTGGCCTTGGTGCATCCCTGGGTAGCTGAAGTGCTGCTGCTGCTGTTGCTGCTGCTGCTGCTGCTGGCTGAGGATCTGGAGCTGCAGGAAGAGCTGCTGCTGCTGGAGGAGTCTGGCATATGCAGAATCCATGGGTGGAGGGGACTTCTCTGCCTTCTGGTCTGGAGGGATGTACTGGTGATACTTCAGCTTCTTCACCTTGGGTTTGGTGTCCTTGGGCTTTTTGTGACGGTTCTTGCTATCACTGGATGATTTGGACTGTTGGTCCAAGAAGGAAAGGAATTAGCTGGGAAAAGACCTTCTGCCACGCCTGTGGGAACTCAGAGGCCTGGGGCAGAGCAAAGGTAGCTCCTGCCAGCACCCTGACACTCCAGCTCCAACAGCTGCTGTGCCTGTAAGTGGGGGAATCCCTCAGGGCTGTGTCCCATCTCAGTTGTGCTGGACAGCACATGAGATGGAGAATGACCCTCCTCACCGGGAAGGTATTTCAGTGTTGCCTTATATCTCCTTCTGCTCCTAGCCCCAGGGGACATTTCCAGTGCAGGACCTGAGCAATTGCGTCTAGCAAGGTGCAGTGCTATACCTTGTACCGTGACAAAATGAATCAAATTGTAGTTTTTGACGACATGGTTTGTCTCCCTGCATTATTCCAAGCCTTTAAGGCCAAACCCCCAGACCTCCCACACATGTGGGGTGCAGCACATGGGTACTTCAGGCTCGGACGCAGCCAGGTGCCCTGGGCTTGTTCCGTCTCCTGGGCAGCCTGGAGGCACAGGCATTACCTTCACGGCGGAGGGCACCGGGAGGGTTGGGCTCTCCTGCCCCGCCGTCTGCTTGGGGCTGTCACACTGGCTGCCCTGCCCCGAGGCTGGGTCCGGTGCGTGGCCATCAGCACTGTGGGGGTGATCCTGCAAGGGAGAGGCGAGCCGTGCAGTGGGACAGGGGATGCGGGGCCGGTGCCAGGGGCTGGCCGGCCCGGATGGCCTCTGCCCGCAAGGGGCACCTGGTACCCCATTCCCCGTGTTGTCCCCAGCCCCCCAGTCCATCCCAGATGCCTCAGTCCCTCCCAGTCCCCCCCCATGTCTATCCCAGCCCACTATCCCCACTCTCCCAGGCTATCCCAGGCCTTTCTCAGTCCTCTGTCTCCCCAGTACAGCCTAGTCTCCAAGCCCTCCCCATCCCACCTCAGCCCTGTATCCTCGTTCCCCCCAGGACACCGCTGGCCCCTCAGGGTCCCCCGGACGAGCCCAGTCACCCCAGTCCACATCTGGCTGGCCCCAGTCCCCTCTGGTCACCCCCCCCAGTCCTCTTCAGTTCCTCCCAGTCCCTCCCA